CTTCGGTGCTGTTAGTACTAACAGTTGATTCAAAGTTTATCTGGAAGCTCATATAAAAGTAGTGGAAAGGAGTCATATCACACGACTAAGTGGCACAGCACTTAGCGTTAAGTATATTTACAGGAAGGCTTAACATTTCCTAAATTCCTCTCATAGTAAGCAGTTTTAAAAAATGCCTTAACATTCATCACTTTGACCCATACATGGAATGTGAATTTTGTAAGTAGTGTCACGCTGCTACTCTGCTACTGTCTGATTCTTTCGCCTTTTCGGGGACGGCCCTTCGATGAGTTTTTCGTCATGCATTCGTGCCTCTCGATCGCTAGACTCACTCTGAAATAGTGAGTTATTGAATAGCAAAAAGTTCAAAGTAATACGAAGAGAATATCACACCAGATTTTCCTTCAAATTGTTTGACACCAAGGCAGCATTTTTAAATTCTTCTCCACAGAGAATGTCATTAGATGAAGGTTTAGGATCTGCCGTAGTAGAGTTGGCACTGCCACTGGAGTTTGGTTGCTCTGTAAAAGACTATGCCTGGGGATCCCAAGAAAAAAAATAGAAGTCTTGATTTTGAGAAAATAATGCACTGGCATCACGTGCTATTTTTTAGTTACTTACCGTCACTTAATGTCAGTTGGGCAAGGTTGATGGTGAGGCAGCAGTTGGCATAAATTCGCTGAGGAATTACTGCAAAGAATGATTTGCTGTGAAAAACAGTAACAGCGCTAAATGAAGATGCCATTTACAATGAGAAGAAAACTGATACTTTTAGCATTATGGTGAACTTCAAATCGAAATGGTTCGCTATTTTTTTAGTTTGAAAACGGTCAGTAATGAACAAGTCAATAATTGTGAAACACGGCGACTTTACCATTAAAAATTGAGAACTAATATTGTTTCTCCTCTCAACAAACTCTCAATATTTTTTCGGTTAACAAAACATTTACACACTCGATGGCAAACTTACTGCACCCAATAGAGATTCATAGATGATAATTAGAAACAATTCTCTATTACCGGACGAAAAGTTGTGAAAACTGAGCCTGCAAAACATCGAGCTTCTCTACCATACTATGTATATATGACGATGGTCGACGTAATTTGTTTATATGACTGTTAACAAGATTAAGAAGAGTTAATTTAAAGAATAGTGAGGATGTTAGAAAAACTCATTTCTAAATAGATTAGACCCTATCTCAAACCGTTGTTCAGACGAAATGAGACAAAAATATTTACTTAATAACTCCATATATTTTTGAAATGGGGAAGAGTTTTAAGAGGAAGCGTTGATAGTGGATCAATGTTTTCTCCAAGATGGATATCATCACCATAATGAGCAATTTAAGATAAAAAAGGCCTTTGTAAGTTTAATGATCTGTTCCCAGCAAGACTCTTCTTTATTCCTAAGTAAATTTTATTTAACGTCCAGCTGATAATATAGAACTTCGGAGGAAAGAATAACTGTGAAACCTAAAGAAACAGAGGGACGCTCACCAGTTGCTGCCGAGCTTTCCTTGTGCTTTACCGCAAAAGAGCATTCCTGGAAAGGGTCATCTAGAATGATGAATAACGAATATTCCATAGAGGGGGACGCACCATCTTCAAAGGTCACAGTGTGTATCGTAATTGAGTATCTCTCCGGGTTCAATCGCCAAAAAAATGCAAGCTAATCTAAATGTCGCGATATAATTATCCCGTGCTACAGATTGCACAGCAATTTTTTCTCTCGCAAGCAAAATCATTAAAGGAAAGGGGCATAATGAAAAAAGGGCTGATCATCCAACAGTCCAAACTATTGAGAATACATATTTATTATGAAATAAATGTGAGTTGAATCAATGGAAGTGTTACAAGAATTTGAATAAAGCAAGAAACATTCGTTGATAAAGAGTGGAAATGTTCATGAACATCATGAAAGTAGAAATAATGAAAATCACAAGTAAGGTTTTTTGCATGCTATGCTAACCTTTTGTCAGTGCCAGATGAGCTTCCATCCATAC